CTAAAAGAAAAAAAAAAAATGTTTTGAAAGTATTTCTACAAAGAGAAATTAGTATTTTACAACAAAATGCAATACATTTTATCTTATACAGATCAACCAGCAAAGTATTAAAATATTTTTTCATTTCAAAACTCTATAGCACAATCTCATTTCTTTTAGACCACACAGATGAAAAGCAAAAAGAAATCTATAAACCTAAGGATATTGCTAACTTCATCACACCACAGATAGCTACACATTTTTCCATCTCCATTCAAGTCAAACAGCCTAATCCTTTAGTTACAACTGCTTTGTACCTCTGAAAGTACAACAACAACAAATTACAGTATCTTTCACTGGAAATGAAATCCAGAAGTAGCATAAAGCCAGCAAGTTGCTTTACGTTACCACATCCTTCAGGTGTGGCACCGCTTTGAGTGCAGTCAAACAACCATTACAGAAATAATTACAGTTCAAAATGGGAGGAAAAATATCCCCTTTCCTTCACTTAATTCTGTGAAATACTCAGACATCTCCCCCTCACACAAAATGTTTATTTATTGTATAAATAACTCTAGGATGCAAACTGAAACGATTTATGAAGGGAGTTACGTAGATAGAAATCAAAAATCCTTGAGAAAAGCTAGTGTGCACATTATATCTTCAAGTGCAATTTGCTTTCTTCAATAAAACAAGATTTCCCAACACGTTAGCAGCAAATACTAATTAATGACCTTTAGACAGCAACACGTTCCCTGCTACCAAAACTGGCTTTGTGAAATACTCGTGTACTTTGCCTGTGTAAGTAACTACTCAAATTCAATATCACAACCTTGAACTACAAGCCAGAGCTGTGTTTGAAACATTTCCACTTCAAATAGACCTCAGCAACAACAGAGAAGGCCAAGGTCTTGTTCTGCAGAAAGTCCATTTTACTCTATTACAATTGACACTATATTCAATTACTTCTCTATTCATTCAAGCCTCCTTTCCAGACCTCTTCCGTGTCTGTTTAGAAGTAACATTGGTAGATCTGATTAGATGAGTAATTCTACACAAGCTGTTTCATTTGCTGAAAAAGACAGAACTTGCAAATTAAAAAAAAAAATAAAAAAAAATCACAGAAACTCAAAAACTCATTATGAAATAGATATGTTTATTTGTCTTGGCTTCCCTCCTACAAGTGAAAACGCATGTAAGCACCTTTAAGGACAAGACTGGTCCTGCTTACTTCAGTAAAACAATACCCAAAGTCAGAGGTGTATGTTTTTGGAGGATATTAGGGTAGTACAGCTGTACTGTCAGATGGACTGCAGGTAACATCAGTGAAGGGAGGAGACGCCTGCCATGCTGGTGGTTCCTGGCACAAACAGCCTTCCCACGGCCTCCTCTTTCCTCAAACTACGCTCTTTCTCAATAAAGCACAGAATTTCTTTAACTGAAAGAATTAAGAATGCAGAAGTGTAGAAACTGTATCCTGTGACACTGTTTTGATAAATCTTACGTGATTACATCAACAAGGACAGGCATTAATCTAACTAGCAATTTGAGTTATAGATGCAAACAGTGGAACAAGTGCCCCAGCTGTTACACCAACTGCTGCAGGTCATTCAGGTTCTGGGTGTATTCCTACCAGCACAACTTTGACAGTTGACAAAATTAGAGAAGTATGTTGCTAGCATCTTTCAAAAATGTTTGCTTTCTAAAGGTGACTAAGTATCCATGTGAAAAAAAAAGAAGTCTTATGTTTTCATTATTTTGGGAGATAACGCAATAAGGTGGTAAGTCATATCTCCCTTTGCTCTGAGAGGCTATCGAGAGTACTGACATAGGGAAAGTTACTTGCGTTTGCAGATGTGGGCAACTGCAAAGCGAGGAAAGTACAAGCAACAAAGACAGAAACTGAAAAGAACAGCAATGGAAAACGTGGTGGAAAAAAAAAAATAAAGGTAGAGCTGATTAAGAAGAAAAATGGTTTACTAAATCCTAACTGAAAGCTTTGTCACAGCTAATTTAAAATATTCAGAAGCTACTTTCATTTTTAGAAAGCCGATGAAAGAACAAGTTAAATTAAAACCTAGCTTATTATGGAAATTAAAAATGCATGTAATTAGCAACATTTTTTACAGTCACCAGTATCAAGCTGTCTAAAATCCAGCGGAATGGTAATGACAAAGGAATGCTTTTGAAAACAGCTAGCACAGAGTTTGATAATCTATTCTGAAAAGCAATTCTGTCTAGTAGTGAGGGAAGAAGAGGAATATTGTACTTTGTACTTGTAGTCAGAATTGTCAAATTCAGCGCTTACGCTGTCTTCATGCAGATCAATTTGTTCCAAGAGCCAGCTACATGGTGACTATTCAATCAATACAGCAGCTGCAGAACTGCCAAAGGGCCATCACGTAACAGAGGGGACACCACCTTGGAGGGTTTCATAAGCTCGTTCATTTTTTCTTCTGCAGACATGCACATTTCTACATAGAAATACACACAAAAGCTCAAACAAACCTACAGAGAATGTTCACATTCTTTCACGAGTGTGACATTAACAGAAGCTTGGCTGCAGTTTCCACAGGCCTCCAAGATACAACCAAATATAAAAGGGCACAAATCCTTTTTAATACTTCTTTATATTAATCCCTCATGACGTTTCTAGTAAGTTGATACCACTGCTCAACAACAAACTGTTTGCAGATTTGCAAGCCCACTTTCTGTTCAAATGGCACAGTTTTCACACACAGTGATATTTTACTTTGCACAGCAGAGATGTGGTCTGAAGTCTGAAACACATAACAGGCATTCATGGCCTTGCCTAAATCCCATTGGTTTTAGTGGGGATTTGCACCGTCCAACGAAGACAATACAAAACCTGCCACCCAGCACGATGTAATGTCAGCGCGATGCATTGCTGTGCTGGGAATGGCACTTTGGGCCTCGAGCTTTGTGTTTTGCTTGTTGGGTGGCAATGCCAACAACCCTCCATTGCCTTCAAAGAATTTCCACTGAACCAGGTCAGCTTGGCCTACGCTCTGAGGGAGCCACTTCTGTTCTACTTTGCCTGAAAGGATCAAAAGGAACTAAAAAGATTCATCTATGAAACCTCCCTGGTACAATTTGAGGACAGAAAATAACAAAGAGGAGGAGCATGTCTATTACTGTTGACAAGATACTACTGATATTACAGAGTGAAATTTAACTTTCTAATGCCATTTCTTGATACTGAAACAGTAGTATTTTGCAGTAGAAAGATACACATTCGTATTGTGTGGTAGAATGATTAGGGTGTGAGACCATCCCTGCACAGTTCATTACGCATGGTCTTCTGAAAGAGATTGAAGAGTAAAACATAGATGTTAAGACCAATCAATTCTCATCTAAGCTTCATATAACAAATACAAAGCCGTCATCCTCCAAAATTCTCAGTGATGCTCACGTACCAGCACATGCATTAACGACTCATCCTCATAACAAACACAGGAAAGGCAAGGAACCTCTGCCACTCAGCCTGGGACAAGGTCCCACAGCAGCATGCATCAGCACATCCCGCAGCCACATCCAAGGGAGCACAGAGGTCTGCCAGAGCCAGCCCAGTGCCCTTCCCCACCTCACACATCCAACTAGGGCCTACGGCACACTGACCTGGTTCCATCATCAGCTGTATATGGCATTTCTCTGCCTACAGCACAAGACTGGAGCCTTTGTTGAAATAAACTTCAGCGCAATCAGATACACAAGATTTCACAATGTTATTTTTTGTTTTAACCACTGTGTAACATACAAAATTATTATTCTTGGTTTTATCAGTTGTTGCAAGAGCATGCCACCATGGCCTCACATGCCACTGCAAACATCCTTCACGCTTCTATCTCAGTATCTCAATAATGGTTTTTTTTTTTGTTATTTTGCTTTTTTTTTCTTTCTATGTTTAGACATCAAGCAGTTACAGAGTGGTTTCCCCCAGTAAGCTTTATAAACGGAAACATACTCAGTTTCAATTCCTTGCCCCTCCTCGCTTTAAGGCCATGGAAACGGCTGGTGTTCTTTACTCACAGCTCACACTGCTGTATGCCACTTATTTACTTTCAAAGCCCAGTTACCTTTTTCCCTTTCCATTATCTGCAGCTGCGCTTGCTAACTATTATTAGACTCGAAAAGCCACCCTACTGCCAGAGAAGTGCCCTGAATCGGGCAACGTGGATAGGGTCAGCTCCTTCGGTACGGGTGTCTGCACAGACAGGGGCTACGCTCGCTTCAGCTCCCGAGCCCATTGCTTTATGCTATATCTGAGCGGGTCACCAGTTACCGCCGGGGTGATGTTGGCATTTCGGGCCTCCCGACATTAATCTTCATATCCTGAGCACTTGGAAGGGGATCAGGTATCAGACAATTCTATTCGCGTCCCGATAATCCCGGGAAAACGCACCCGGAATGGCACCAACAAAGCCCCGCCGCAGCTCTCTGATCGCGCTGCTTCACCGAGAACCCTTTCATTTCTCTGCTATGACACGAAAACCGAACGGGTCGCCTCTGTGCACGCCGTCAGCCAAAGGGGTTCGGTCGGCGCAATCACAGCAAGCGGCACCAAAATCTCGTCCCACGTTATCTCAAGTGGAATGATACTTCCACGGGATCTCGACGTCCCGACAAAAACCCGTCCGTGCGCGGGGACTGCTGGACAACCGGAGTCCCGGTCCGAGGGAGCACACGCGGAGACAGCCGCAGCCGCACCGCAATCCCGGCCCCGCACTCCTCACGCCGCACCTCGGCGCCCGGCACAGCCGCACCGCCCGGCCCGGCCCCGGGCGCGGGTGCCGCGCGCGGATCCGCCGCCGTCCGCCGTCCGCGCGGGAACGGAGCGCGGCGGAGAGCCGCGAGGGAACCCGACGAGCCGCGGCACAGCGCGCACCCGCTGCACGTGCCCGGCCGGGCCCGGCGCCCCGCACGTGTCTCCAACCCAGCGGCAGCCCAGCGCCGCTCCAGCGCTCCTCCGTGAGGCGCACCCCGTCGCCGCAGCGCGTTACCTCAGCTGCTTCGGCTCCAGCTTCAGCTTCTTGGCTTGAGGCTCGCCCGCTGCCATCTTCGCGCTGGGCGGCGTGCGGCGCGCTCGGCTCCGCTCGGCTGCGCTCGGCTCGGCTCGGCCCGCCCCGCTCGGCGCGGCACCGCCACCGGGAGGCGGGGAGCGGACGGCCCCGAGGGCGCCTGACGGGACCGCGCCGCGCCGCCCCCGCCCGGCCCCGTCCCGGGCCGACGCCGCCCCTCCCGCCCGCGTCCTCCGAGCGCCCGCGAGCGGCCCCCGTTCCCCGCCCTCCCTCGAGGCCGGGAGCCGCCGGCGGGCGGCGCGAGGCCGGCGGGCGCCGCGGAGCCGCGGAGCGAACGGGGGGCGGGAGGCCGGGGCGGGCCGCCGCCGCGCCCGGTGTTCGCCGCTCGGAGCAGGCGGCGACCCGGCCGCCCGCGCCTCCGCCGGGGGGCGGCCCCATCGCCGCCGGGCCTCGCCGCCATCTTGGCCGCTGCCCCGGGAGCGGGACGCGCCGCGCCGCGCCGGGGGAGGTACGTGCGGCCGGGCCGGGTCGGCGGCGGGGCGCGCTCGGGGGAAGCGGGGCCGGGCCGGCGGCTCCTTGCGGCCGATGAGCCGCTGCGCCCGCTGCGCGCGGAGCCGGGCGGTGGCGCGGGGCGGGCGAGGGCCCGAGCGCCGTCAGCACGGGCGGAGGGAGCGGCCCGCGGGGCCGCGTGCGGCGCGGGAGGAGGGCGGCGTGTGCGGGCGCTCGTTCCGCTTTCTGTCCCTTCTGGGAAGCGCCGACGTCGGCGGGCGCTCTGCAGATCTCCCTGTGCGTGTGTCCGACGACCGGGTGCGGGCTGCAGCTTCGTTGGGTTTGTTTCGGCGCTGATGCACTTTGAAGCAGCCGTGCGCTGAGCGTCCTGTCGTCGTGCTGAGCGATGCGCGCCCACCGGATTCTGGTTTGAGCCCGTCACTAAATGTGGCCGCTGTAAAAACAGCCGGGCTAAAATATCTCGCTTGAAAATTCATCTTCATTATAGGCAGACTGCAGTATGGGAGAAGGAAAGCCGTAGAAAGGCGAGCACAAGCAAATTAAATTACTCGTGCAAGAGGTGAGGTGATAGAAGCAGTCTGCTGCAGAAGGACTGACTTCTGAGAACTGTCTCATCACCTGGGAACGGTTCAGCCAGTAGCTGCGTGCAGGTTCGAATTGTACATGGCTTCTTATTTTAAAGCAAAAGAGAAATAAGCAAACACACAAAACTGTGCCTGAATGGTGTATACCTGTAAATGCATGGGGTTTGAGCTCTCATACCGTGGGGGCCATCAAACTCAAAGCAAACAAACAAACAAGAGGCTCTGGGAGAAAATGGGACAAGAAGGGCCTTTCCTGCCCTTGTCACATAACTGAAAATTCTTCACAGACAGCAAGTCAAACATTAAGACCCCTCCACATCCTGCAGTGTTCATTTGCTGTCCTTCTCCAGAAATGATGTTTCCTATTGTGCAAAGCAGTTACATACCAATTCATTCCCAGTTACTCTTTCAAACAAAGCTCTCCTTGCAAGCAATTCTGCACTCAGTGATCTTAAATAGAAATCTTGTCATGAGAATTTCTGAAAGAGAAATGGAGTTCTTGGGGCAGAAAGATCTGAACAGTAGTGACAAGCAGCAGCTGTACATCATACATGGTAAGTGAGAGGAAACCAAGTTAAATCTTTTTGCAGTGTAGAGTTCCTTCCTCTTATTTACTTTTCAGCTGACTTAGTTCTTCCAGAATTAAAGAGTGTGGCTCTTTTCTTCTCATGGAAGAAAGTGGTGATGTGCCTTCTTTCTGCACTTTGTGTTCTGGCCTGATTGTGGCAGGGCGCACGTGTTAGCGAGAGCCATCGTTTATTTGCAGCAGGTTCCAGCAGTACCTGCAGGCTCTGGTCTGTGCCCCAGCAGTGCACAGTGCTGTGCGTGTCCTTCACTGAACATCGGTTGTCTCTTAAAATAGAGCCTAGGAGAAGAGTGCTAGGAAGCTGTGGCACCATCACTCCTGCCAGAGCTACAGAGAGCTGGGGAGCGAGGCAGAAAGCATGCTAAGGTCTGTCAATCTTAGCTGAACTCCTTTTGGCCTTACCATGTCAGTTTGGTCCTTTCTATCTTTATTCAGTGCTGCTTTCAGACAGTTAAATGGCACATTAGTTGTCATAAATCCACTGATTTGCTTTTAAATTGTATTGGAAATGCTCCACTTCCCTGTGAAAAATATAGTTTTAGCAATTCATTTCTATTTATAATTTTTTTCTGAGCAACTCTGTTGGATTTTGGCTTTTATAGTGAAACTTTCCATTCTTGCATATCCCAAAGGGAACCGCAGTTATGCAATATCGAACATTGTTTGATTATTCAGTATCTAAAATTGTTTTGTTGGCAAGAGATAGAGCGATCTTGCCAGCACTTAGATGATTTATACTAACTTGAACAGAGACACCATGCAAATATTTTACGGGAGAGCTGCTCGGTCTGCAGATGAAATGCTCTACACATTATTTTGTAGGCTGTGATTGTATCTCTGTAACCACAGAGGAAGTTGAAAGGCTGTAATGGATACCAAACACTGATTTAGGACAGCTTCAGAGCATCCTCAGAGGACCACTTTCTTTCACAAACTGTTCTGGAAAGTTACTAACAATGTTTTAAATGGAAGTGAAGATAAAGATGTGTACACTGAAAAATTGGGAAGTGAAGCATTTAGTCTTTAATAAGGATGATCTGGCTCTTAGAATATACATCTGAGCAGTTGTTATGCAGACACCAGCACTTGATGCTGTTAGTTACAGTTGGTTTGGTTCTGGGAGCTTTGCCTGATCACAGGTAGACTGGGCAATTCCTAAGAAGGGCCGTGAACACATTTTTACCCTAATGTAGGGATGCTTTAAGCTGTGGGCATCTAATAAATGAGAAAGATTAATGATAACTTCTGCAGCAGCAGTAACGTGCATTAGTGATGATAGGAGCCTTCCAAAAAACCCCAAAATAACATATTTTGGTGATATCTGAGACTCACAACCGCTAACATTGTATCAGGATTAGCCCAGCAAGCTGTGTGTTCAAATCCGTCACCCTGATTGTCTTGAAAATGTCACTGAAGTGTTTGATAGGACTTCTCTTCATTAGTTTGCTATTTTAAAAGCCAGTGAGTCTGTGAAGGTTGTCCACTTAAGACACATCCTGAATGTATTGGAAAAATCTAGTGGAACTACCTGCAGGGTGGTTGTGACAAAAATGTGAACTTCAAAATAGAAATAGAGCCACCTATCTGAGCTTATTTGTTTCTCCACATTACTCTGAGCATTTGATTGCTTTCCATGCTTTTAATGGCTTATCACTAGAAGCCTGTTTCTACCAACCCATGGCAGATGCTCAGCCAGCCCACTGCCACTGACCCTGTGGCTTTCAGAGCAGCCCAGCCAGGTGCAGGAGCGTGGGTCTGAGCACACTGCTCACATCCCACATGGAGCCCTGTGCAGAACGCTTTGAAGGGCATTGCAGAGGTCAGTGATAAATTCCTCACTCCTGGTTTTCAGAGCTTTGACTGTAACTCAGCTGAGTGTTAGGGAAAAGCAGCTGGCAGCAGTATTTTTGTAGTAGTCACATTTTAGGGTATTTAGTTGTAAGTAAGGACACGCATGTGCAGTCTTTTTGCTCCCATGACCAGTCTCACCAGTGAGCTCTGCTTTTGTCTTGTGAGCCCAGATGTTTCTCAACCAAGAGATGGAAAAAAAAAAAGTGAAATAGCAAAATCCAGACTTAGTCAAAAGATACAGGGATGGAAATAGCATGCTTGAAGATGCTTGAGTTAAAATATTTAGCTGTTCTTTGAGGACTTCAGTTTCTGGGGGAGTGGAAATGACTATCTAGAGCCACAGGGAATTTTGTATGTCAGAGCTCCTAACAAGGATGGGAAGCTGACAGGAACGAACCACTGGGCTGCTTGTTGCTGCAGTACCTGTACAATCCCCTGCAGTCAAGGAGTATCTAAGGCAGTGAGCCTATTAAAACGATCTTGAGTGGCTCACTTTGAGCTGAAGATGCAAATAATCCATAAAATCCTTCAGACTGCTTCTTAGGTCAGCCTAAAAGCAGAAAGATGGGAGACATGTCCTGTTGAAATGTTCCTAGAAGTACATTTTTAGTATTTTGTATAGAGCATTCGTGCACAGCCCTCTCAAAATGGTGTTTGCACACACTCTCCTGGTTCTCAGGTGGTGATGGTATGCTTTGGCTGCTGTCTTTTAAACTGGCGGATTTTGATTTAAGATCTTTACCCTTGGAATGTCCCAGCTCTTCATGTGCTCTGCTGCTGGTACTTACCTGGCCTGTTGGTGTGCAGAATCTTACTGTTACCAGAGGAATTTCTTACAGTCCGCGTTTTTCACCTTTTCTTCTTTGCAAATCTAAAATTCTGATGAGATAGAAGAAAAAAGTGAAATAATGAGAAAACCTCAATGTCTGCGTACCTTAAATGAAATCTGGCACAGAAAAAAAGATTTGTTGGGAAATCTTTGGTACTGGGAGCACTGTAAGTAATTCCTCTTAAATATTAGCTCACGTAAGATATTTCTGTAGTAACACCACTTCTATGACATCCAATATCAGTTCTGTCTTTACCTGGCTGGTGCCAGCAGTTTGACAGCACATGGGATAAATGAAATGTCTCTGGTCCTGCACTGCTGTAAGGGCGTTGCTGTGCTCAGCACTGACAGAGGGCAGCATCCAAACAGAGCTGCCCACTGCAGATGGGATGGCCTCGTGTCATGGCAGCTGGAGACATGAGCTTTAAGGATAGAGCTGCCATTTTCCCAGACCATTTTGAATTATTTTTCTGATTCACGTACTGCTAAAACCTGTGAAGGAAGAAAGAAGCACATGAGGGGAATGAAGGGAACTTCTGCTAGAAGCAAGATAATTGTGTGTCATTTAAAATCCTGCAGAAATGGTTGAAGATAGGGAATGCAGTTAGCTGGCACTTGACTGCTCAGTTTGCTATTCCCATTCTCCCCAGGGCCACGCACTAAAGAACACAGTTGGCACATGAGCACGAGTAGGTAGGGGCAAGTCCAGCACTGCACCCCTTCTGGCTGTGTGGGCCCTCTCTCAACTGCGTATCGTGACATGGTGTAGTGGTGGTGGTGGAATGCATTGCAAATCCCCAGCCTTACTGACAGAGGCTGGATGCAGAACCAGCATAGAGCAACTTGGCTGTATGTAAGTAGCCAGTATGTTGGCATGCTGCACGGCTGTACTAGCTCAAACAACAGAGTCACAAATGCAGCAGCTTACGATCAGTAGAATTGCTATGAAGCTGTACAGCAGGACCATTGCTAGGGCTTAGAACAGCTGTGTAAGGCAGTTCTGATATACTCTGTTGGCATCAAGTGCAGCAGACATCACCCAGCACAGCTGTGGGCCCCGGACAAACAGGTCCTGCACATGCTGAAACTGCTCTGCACAGCTCAATATGCAGTGCCTAGGAGTTAAGGCCTGGAGTTATTAACATCAGTGCTATTGTGTCCACATTAAAATGTCTAGAGAACTATTCTAAGCTTTACAGCTGATCATACGTTAGGGCCACCTTGGTGTGGAACAATACTGACATTCAGTGGTTGATTAGACTCAGCGCTGCTCTGCGGCCATCCAGGAGATTTTGGAGGGTTTTAGCATTCAGCACTGGCTAAATTCAGAACATGTTTAGTTAAACTGGATTAAAAAAGCTGTGCTTAGGGTCCTTAATAAGAATGCTGTTCTCATGGTGTTAAAATTGTCTGATTTTTTTTTAACTAACTCAGAAATTGATTTGGTTCAAGGATAGGTATCACAGTAGCATTCTGTAACGTGATGGAAAACACAGCATTAACAGCAGAGCAGCAAGGTGCTAGGCTACAGCAAGTGAGGACTTGCTCAAATGCTACAGCTGTGGGCACAGAAATAAAAGAAAAAAGCTGCTTACCTTCAAAAGGCCACAGGTATGCAGAGATCTCCAGAGGGATCCCTTCATCTTTACTGCTGACCCTTAGATAAGGTCTGTAAGGGGTGGATCCTGGTTCCACCCCTTCCTATCACTCAGATGCATTACATGCACCTGAGCTCCCCTGGGTTGGCCCTGCCTTCCACCAGGTGCTCAATCACTGCTTCAGGCCATGATTCAGCATTTCCACTACACATGCAATAGTGTCAATTTGTAGCTTTATTTTCTTTCTCACTCTTAAGAAAACTGGCCAGTAACAATTCCAAAATAACTTCCCCTTACATGCCACATTGGTTTAATTGGCTTTTTCTGTCCACATACTGACCATTGGTCTTTTCATGCCTACCACTAAGGACAGCATGCTTTGGTCAGGAGTTGGCAGAGACGTGGCAAGGTCCCAGCGAGCACAAAGACCTGCTGTCATGGCAGAGCCACAAACACTCCAATATCAGTATTTGGAAGGCAGCGGGGATGAGTAAGCACTGGCAGCTTCTTCAGCTAAAGAATGAGTTATGCATGATGTAAATACCAGGTTAACTTCAGTTTGAGGACAATGTGTTTGTTTTCTAAGCCCACTTTTAAACTCAGACTTGCTTTTGTCAGAGTATGGCTGTGCTGCAGGTCAGCCGAAGCATTGCAGCTGTTGGAAAGGCTGAGGAGCTAAGCAATAGCATTTGGTTCTTCTGCAGATGTGGAGAACAGTCAATTCACTTAATTTGAATCAGCAACTTAATTCACTTACTATCTCAGCGAATATTGAGAAATGCACTGGGAACTGCTTTTTAGAAAAAGATAAGCTGCTTTTCCTGTGAATAGAGTGAAGGACCAGTGGCTGGGGTATGTTATTTGTAAACCTGCAAAGATCCAAGAAAAAAAATTACGTTCAGTAACTGCAGCTAATACTCCCCTTGATTCATGAATGAATCGGTTTTCAATTGTAAAGCTATTTTAGAGGCTTTTCTTCCATGTGTATCAGGCACATCTGAGGCACTTCTATTAGGTGAAGCAAACATCTGGTTTTGTGTTCGAAGAATTCCAGTCCTTTTTCCAAGTGCATCTTGGCATAGATCATCAGCAAAAGACTGAGCAGCTAGCAAATAAAAAACACTTTTCTAGTTCAATAGCTGAAAGCTGACAAGGTAATGAGATTTCTCCATAAGATACCACAATGCTCAATTACACATGTAAATGTAATGCAAAATCCTCTGCTACAAGAAAAAGTGGAAAATCATACTGTTATGCTGATATGTTGCCGTGCTGGCTGAGGACAGTCAGTGTTTCTTTAAGAAATACATTGCAAATGCCAAATAGAGATGGGAGTAGAAAGCAAGGGTGCTGGCTTCTTGCTTACGCTGTAATGTATGTTAGCATCTTAAGGCACCATGAATTTTTTAGGGCAGAGCCTTCCTTTCAATAAAGAAAATGTAATTAAAAAAAAAGAGCAGCTAAGCAGTGTCTTTTCCTTAAACTCACAGTGCATATTAGTAAACAATAACCATAATAAGGAAGGGAATGTGGGAGAAGATATAATGTCACTTGTCCCATCCTTTTGTTTATTTTAACTTCTTTGAATGTTTCAACAGAAAATGATCCACAGCCTGTTTCTCATAAACTGTTCTGGTGATATATTCTTGGAGAAGCACTGGAAGAGCGTTGTGAGCCAGTCTGTGTGTGATTATTTCTTTGAAGCTCAGGAGAAAGCAGTCGATGTCGAGAATGTGCCTCCTGTCATCTCCACGCCACATCACTACCTCATCAGCATCTATCGGGATAAAATCTTCTTTGTGTCTGTCATACAGACAGAAGTGCCACCGCTCTTTGTAATTGAATTTCTGCACCGAGTAGCAGATACTTTTCAGGTCTGTAGCTATTAATATTAAAATTGAAATAATTACAAAGGAATTCTGGTATAAACTTCTTCTGTAGAAAGGCAATAAATCATCCTGTCCATGACTTCTCTCTTTGTAGTTTTAAGTGCTGGTTTGTTACAGTACAAAAGAAAAGGAGGATTATTTTGTGTATTCATTTGACTAACAGATACCAGCACGTGAGCACTAAAACTCAAATTCCAGCTTGTTTTTTTTCTGCAAGCTTTGAGTACTTTTCCAGTTACGTAGATAAACTAGAGTGATCATGCAGTCATGGAGAAGTCAGTAGGAGTGATGAGATGCGACTTGGGAGTCAGTTTGCAGCCTGATTGATAGATGCCATAAATAAAGGAACCTCTGGTGAAGAGTGAGCACTGCTGAAAGATAGCTTCTATATTCTGCATTGGTGTTCTAACCAAAGATACGTTTCATGTTCACAAGTGGAAGAGCCCTTGGGATATGTATACATAGTATACAGCTTATGTGAATTTCACTGTTAGCTCTAGATGCTAAATGTGTCCTTAATGTATGATGCAGTCAAAGAATAGAAGTAGCATGTCAGTTTAAGCACTAAAGTTCCTTGAGATACTAGAGAGTAAACAGAAAGAAAATTACAAAGCATTTTAACAGGAATAAAATCCTCCCTCTTTTAATCTCTGATTTGTTTAGGATTACTTTGGCGAATGTTCTGAGACTGCGATTAAGGACAATGTAGTGATTGTGTATGAACTGCTGGAAGAAATGTTAGACAACGGCTTTCCACTGGCGACAGAATCCAACATACTGAAGGAGCTGATTAAGCCTCCCACAATTCTGCGTTCCGTTGTCAATTCCATCACAGGTATGAAAATAAATAATTTTCAGAGGTAACTGCTTAAAAACAAAGCCCCATCAGGCCTCATAGCTACAAAATATTGTATCTGCATGAATCTGGAAGGTGAGGCTGCAGTTATTTGAGGTTGGTTGAATAAAAGCAATTCCTTCTTTATGTACCATTTATGCATGGCCCCTTTGGTATTCCCAGAGTGGCACTCCCTGATCCAGCCCCAGCTGCTGGAGTCCCTCAGCAACAGCCGTTCCCAGCTGGGACAGCACATACTGGAAACAGGTGCTCTGGGAGAGGCACAGAGCTAACCCCAGCCTTGAATAACTGAAGGGCACTGGAGAAGGTTTTATACTGTAAGAAATTCCTCTACAGAACTGTTTAACAGATATCTAATAAATCTTTGGTGCCTGGGGACAGACAGCACAGGAGAAGCAAATAGGCTGTCCTCAGTCTCCCTTTGCCACCATCAGCATCCATCAAGCTAAGTGCTGGTTTCAGGCTGTTGTAAATGCAGACGTCTCACACTGACAGAGCCACGTGTCTGTCAGCTGAACTGGTGGAATCTGCTGGGCTGGCAGGCGAGTGCAGGGGAGGTGAGCCATGGAGTGTCACCCTGGGCCAGAGACACGTGAGGTGGTTGCCTGTACGTTGTGCTGGAGACAGGCAGTAGGTGGGCTGTAAGGCCACAGGGGCAGTGCTCAGGGCAGCTGGTTTGGGGATAGACAGCAGAAGTGGTTTAATTTTTTTTAGAAAGTCTCATTAGGTTTATATTTTATTGTTTTTATTTTGTTTTGTTTTTTAAATGATGGTACTAGTTACTTTATAACCAAATAGCTCGGGAGCTGTAATAAGTCTGGATACATCCTTAAAGTTTATTCATGTCACCTAACAAATGAAATTTTAGTAGTTCAGATTTAGTTTGCAATTCTAGGGGTCAAGTCCTGTTTTGTTTCTTGATTGCAGCTGTTACAACATTCCTCTTGTAATTAATCACTGATGTTGAGTTCCTTTCCATTCTTAAGGCAGCAGTAATGTGGGTGACACCCTTCCCACTGGACAGCTGTCCAACATTCCTTGGCGCAGAGCGGGAGTAAAATACACAAACAATGAAGCCTACTTTGATGTCATTGAAGAAATTGATGCGATTATAGACAAATCAGGTAAGATGCCTTGCAAGCTCCTTTTTGGTTTTTGTTTGTTGAATATGTTTACAGTTAGACACTGATTTTAGAGAGAACACAGTGCAGCTGTTTTTTTGCATCTGTGTTTTTTATGCATGGATCTGTGTCTAAAGTAGAAACATAGAACCAAGTTCAAATAACATGCCCAAGTATATCCTTCAGTTTATGGCAGTATGCTCTAAGATGCTTAAAGAGCACACTGTGCATCTACAGTATTCAATAATTAGATATTTTCTGGTTGCATATTGATTCTTTTGAGATATAAATGAAAAAAAAAAATCTGAAAAGTTTTAAATGTGATGGCAAAACTCTCACGTTGTGCTTACTCATAATCATTCTCATTGCTTATAAGCCCTCAAGTGAACAAGACAAAAGAAGTCATCAGCTTTCCTCTGATAGCAAGAAAAAACTTGTTGCAGAATTCTGGGTCAGAATTGCTTTTCTTGGAAAAACATAAGGAAGCATAATAATACTCTTTTTTATTTTTTTAACATATGTGGAAAATGTTTCATATGCCACTTTGACAAACACTCTGGCCCCAGTTGTACTGGGTAGTCACAAATACCTGTTGTGCAGCTCTCATTCCTGCTGTTTTGATACTAAAAGAAGGTGGCAGTCACAGTCAGAACACCGTAACGGCTTTGTCGCTCTCCTGGCTCAGTAGGATTCCTAAGAGTGGTGTGAGGGCCTTTCCTGAGGAGTTACAATCGAGACTCTGTTTTTATTTCTGTATATATTCCAAGCCCAATCAGCATCCACGTGACTCTTTAAATTTTCTGCTGGGGCTCCACTGCTGTTGTCATAGCCACTTTTTTCTGCTGTGATCCCTTAGGGACTTAGCATGCAGCGTCTTTTTTCCTAACCTTCACTAAGGACTAAGAAGTAGGTAAGGTGGCTTCCGAAGAATAAGGACATTATCCTGTTTGATAATGGTTTGGTTAATTGCTTCATCTGAAACAGGATCCCTTCTTTTCAGTTATTAACCTCCAGGTTCTCCTCCCTCTTGACTAGATGAACCATAATTTCTACTTACTTTCTAGAAGGACCTCTACTTGTAGGTCTAACTAGTCCAGAGCTCTGCTTATAACTTTTTGTCCTTACAGAGCATTTAAGGAAATTATTTTTTTTCTGGGTAAGGTGCTCAGTGGTTTAATTTTCATGTTTTCTTTTGGCTATAGATCTATATATCTAGATCTATATATATGACAGACACGTACTCCCATTGTGAAGGACGCCGTACTTGTGAAAGCCAAGGATGATGACATCCTGTGCTTTATTGTGCTTAGATATTTATTGTTTTGATGTGCATCAGCTTCCCTGCACCTCTCTACAACTTTGCTGTAGACAGGAGTGGAAGAATGGAAGATTTGGAGCTTGCATATTCTGAAAATCTTATTTGCACATTGCTCGCCCCAGTGCAAGCACATGCAGTATGAGTTCTGCCTAACAGCTTGCACTGGTGCTCAGGCACACACCGTGTGCCCTGGTTCATGCATTTTAGCAAGCTGCCCAGACCACAGGTAACTTGAATGACCTTTCCTGTCTGCGCTGGCACGGCCCTGAGTGTTGTGCAAACGCCACCTGTGCCCTCTAGCTGCACTTCACATTTGTTAGGCCCTTGATGGTATGTTAAATATGGTGTCTTTCTTTTTTTCTCCCACAGGTTCCACAGTCTTTGCAGAAATCCAAGGTGTTATTGATTCGTGTATTAAGCTCTCAGGAATGCCAGATCTTTCTCTATCTTTCATGGTAAATTCAGTACTATATTTGGCAATTCTAATTGCTTGGGATATTTTTTTTTCCATGAACAGTTAGTGTAAGAGCATGACAACTACTTCATCCATTTCACAGGAAAAATTATATATCAAGTTTTGCATTATCGTTTAAAAATGTTTGCACTGTTCAGTAGTTAGAATAGCCTTTGTGCACCAAAACACACTCAGAGGAACTGCTGTAGTAATAGCTAGGAATGCTGCTTCGAGTCCAGGGAACAGGAACTGTGTAGTGTTCAGAAGTTCAAACCCTGCTATTTTATGGCATTCTGCTCATTCCTCTGCCACTACTTACAGAACCCAAGGCTGCTGGATGATGTCAGCTTCCATCCATGTATTCGATTCAAACGCTGGGAGTCTGAAAGAGTCCTTTCATTTATTCCTCCGGATGGGAATTTCAGACTGATCTCCTACCGTGTCAGCTCACAGAAGTAGGTTTTGGTTTCGATGTGGTCATTCTATAGGTACACTGTCTAATGCTTTCCATCTGAGTAGCTGCAGATTTCTCCTTGTGAAGAGGGGAATTTACACTTTTGCCAAAAAACAAGTTCCCAGGTTTTGGCTAATCTGGAGCCCTGTGCCCCCTGCAAGAAGAAGGCAATGTTTCAGCTGAGCTCAGCAGTCACTTCAGTGGGATAAACCACATGCAGTACTAATTCAGGGCTAGTCTTTCTTGGTCATCAGTGTTGCTGCTAGATGCTTGATGGGTAAGATTCTTTATAGATAGAGGTCTCTGCTATTCATTAATATATATATATTTTTTTTAAATTAAAGAAATCTAAATTGCAAGTACCTGCAAACTAAGTCTGATTTGATTGGCACCTGTTGTGAGAATTGGCTTAGTGAGATTACTTAAAAAATACTAATAACTAAAAAAAAAAAAAAAAAAAAAAGGATAGAGATTAAGATAAGCAATTTAGAAGAAAATCATCTCTCCATTCTCCACTGATAAAAATGGCTTCAGCAATGATGCTGAAATGCTGGAAATCACTTCTCACTTTTGAAAGAAACTGGTACTAGGTTAAATACCTGGCAGAAGCATAGGAAGTATTTATGAGAAATTGTTTGTTTTCCCTGGCAGAGAAGCAAACAGGATGCATTCAACTGCTGTCCTCTCTTTTCAGCTTGGTGGCAATTCCTGTGTACGTGAAGCATTTGATCAGTTTTAAAGAGAACAGTTCTTCAGGAAGATTTGATGTTACCATTGGACCAAAACAGAATATGGGGAAAACAGTAGAAGGAGTTGTCATGACAGTTCACATGCCAAAAGCAGTACTTAATATGAACCTCACTGCTACACAAGGCAGCTATACGTTTGATCCAGTTACTAAGGTAAGTCCTAAGGTTTTACTTATGTATTTATCTTAGAAGACATAAGAGCAAGTCCTACATAATGCATAGTGCTGGAAACTCTGTTCCTCAAATGGCAAAAAACCTTTCCTTCCAACATATTTAATAATTCAGATCTTCTCTTTAAAATTCCCTTTTTCAGTCTTAGAGATGTATCAGTTGTGATTTCTGGTTATATCGGTCTCCTTTGCTTCCCTTTCCCACTTCCCTTCTTCTCTTTTGCCCTGCACTTTCAGTTTTCCTGATCTTTTTCTTCATTACTTGCAACAATGTATTGCTGGTGGTTTCAGATATGGTATATTCTCCAATCTGTGACCTTTAAAACATACTTAGTTGGAGAAAATGCAGTAGACTTGAAAATAAGGAGTCAAAAAAAAACAGGTGGCAAGAGATCAGAAAAAAGTCTTCCCAAAGATTTGCCTTTTTAAGACAACAGGAAGGAAAACAAAGGATCTGAAACACCAGTTTGTTTGTCTTGCCACTCAGTTGGGGTAAGACATCAATTTCTTAATGCTCCTGAGGCTTTTTAGTCCCTAGAAGCAGTTCTCCAGGCCTTCTGCCGGCTCCAGCAGCCTGCTCTGAGCTTTCTGCTGCCCTTAAAAAATCTCAATTGGCATTTGGTTTGAATTGTAAGTGAAAGTTCTCAAAGAAACATTTTGCTTTAGAAAGAACAGATTCTGATACTTTTAAAACAAAACCAGCAGCATGCCATCTCCCTGCTACTGGGATAATTCTACCAGACTATCTCAGTACCCAGCCTGCAAGCTAAAAGCTTCACCTGGACTTGGCTTCATAGGTGGTATCCACAAGGTCTGTTGCTACTGTTCTCTTTCCTGACAGGTGTTAACATGGGATGTTGGCAAAATTACCCCTCAAAAGCTGCCAAATCTGAAGGGAATAGTGAACCTGCAGTCTGGAGCCCCTAAGCCTGAAGAGAATCCAAGTTTAAATATCCAGTTTAAGATACAACAGCTTGCAATTTCAGGTGAGTAGATGGGTGTTACAGGAAACTGATACTGATGGATAATTAGCAGCAGGATAAGGAGTAGAAAACTTAATTGTTTAGCTGGAGGGGATGATGAGCCTTATTTCCAGATTCTCCTACTGGGAATAGTGATTTGTTGGCTTTGCTCAAGCAGGACTCAAATATACACAGGGATGTAGACTTTTCTTGCTTGTGTTAAAAGCAAATTTCTCCTTTTAGTGAAGGGACAATGACTGAGAATGCTGCTCTTGACTTGCACCACTAGTGGTCAAACAACTGAAAGCCTTCTAGTGGTCAAACAACTTTTATTGATTTCAAATAAATAACACCCTTCTTTTACCTTCTTTAGCTGGTTAGTTTTTTGTCTCCAAAACAATTTGCGACTAAAATCAAAACAAAATTTTTGGTAAAGGCTGAAGTACAGTTAACTCAACCACTGCCTCATTCTGCCAACACTTAAATCAGGCAAGTTGCTCAGCTGTAGCACTGCTGTGAGCAAGTGTTGCAGGATTAGGCCCTCACAGAGCAGTTGGTTGGAAGGATGGCTGAAGTCAGCACACGAGAATTGGTACAAGTATCCAGGTAGGTTACCAGGCTGCAGTTCTTTTGCCTTCTAGACACTTACAGTTAATAAAGATTAGTCCTTGGGTGAGAAAAGTATCCTATGCTCTGCTCTTAAGTTCACAATCCACTAGCTTAAATGTAGCAAAGCAGTGGCTGGAAGCCAAAGGCAGTAGATGTGTGGGAAAGTAGGAGCCATGCTCAATCTGTTAGCTGTTAGGTAACAAATAGCTTCTGCTGTTCCTTAGTTATTCAAAGAGAGTACTGAAGTTGTTGTAATTAAGAGTGAAAGCAATTCTACAATTTGTCCTTTGCTTCATTAACGTTACTAGGAACAAGAGTTCAGTGTACACACACACTGGAAGGTACACTTGTGTTCAGTAGCTGCTAAGGAGGTATTGGCTCACTAAGCACAAAAGACGCTGTTAGCCTCTCAGGGAAGCCCTGCCTGGACAACAAGAGTGGTACCCATCTGCTGGCTCAAACTGCATGAACTTGTGAAAGGGGTAGGAAGAGAACTCATTTGCTAATGGATCCTAATGTACTTAAGGCAAAGAGAAAGGACTGTTTAACAGACTGGCAACATTTTTAATATTTTGCTTTTAACTTCATACTTTTTCATTTCTGTCTTTTACCAGGACTGAAAGTAAATCGCCTGGACATGTATGGAGAAAAATACAAGCCTTTTAAAGGTGTCAAATACATTACAAAAGCAGGAAAATTTCAAGTCAGGACATGAGAAGATGGTCATCTTCTAAAAGGAAATTCCCCTTAAACGTTAAAAATGACTGCTTAGTGACTTTTGTTGCTATTAGGTGCCAATTAATTAATAGATACTGATTAGTTTGGGATCAAAGCAATTGTGCACTGCAGCTCTTAAAATGAAAGCGTAGCTTAGTTTCTCCTATTATGGCTTTAAAATGAGGTACCTTTTTTCTAATACACCTTCACTTTTTTTTAAACTGACTTGTCGTGCTGGTGAATCGTTTGGTACAGGTGAGCCACAAAACGTCTCAAACACTACACTGCCAAATACCAAAGCCCAGAGGCCAAGCACATTATGAAGGCCAGACAGGCCATTGGGGAAGTGGTGTGGTGGCACATTCTGCTGCTGTAGCTGCCTGCAGAGAAAGCTGGGCTTTTCTCACAGCCAGCTGCCAGTTGGCATTCCACAATGCATCATGCAGTCCCTTCAGAAACAGAGCAGAAATGCAAGGGGCAGGGGTCCCATAGGGGCCTGGGACAGAGCAAATGTCACTCCTAAGAAAGAGCTTCTAATGAAGACAAAATGTTTTCCTTGCTGTTTACAAGAAATCGCCTTTCTTAAGAAGCGTTTGCCTTAATCAGCTTTCATTTGTGCCATCTGCAGATGAGCTGATAAAAATAACATTCTGCATTAAATTGGGGAGGTGTTGCTGCTTCAGTAATCCACTTTCTTTCCATTTGATCTCACCATCGTCATTTTTTTTAAGAATACAGTTGCAGAGAGTAAGATCTATTTTTTATGTGAAACCTTTGCTTTGGTCTTGATGTTCCACTTTGTTTCAAGTGGATGCCACCAGATTTGTGCTGTGTGTATATTGGAGTGTAGCTTTTTAGATAGCACAATAGAAGTGTCAAGTATATTTAATGGTTGTGTGCTTTAATGTTATGAAATAAAGGGAACTCTGCTGCAAATATGTTTTCTCTTGTGATCACTACTGTAAGCTGTTCATAATGCTTTCAGGTAGAACTCCTGATGTACGGTTACATGGTAACAATTGCTTGGCCCTCATTGAATTTGATCAGGTATTTAGAGTTCAGAAAGCATTCACGATCGTGGCAGTAAAAGAGGGTTTTTTTGTTTGTTTAAGTGGAGAACCACAGAAATGTTGCAGTCCTACTATTACAGTCAGAACAGAGATGATGCAGAGCTGACAATCTGTGCCCCACAGTTCAAACCATCCATTTGGCGATACTGGAGAATCTGTTTCCTTTGCTTGTTTGGCTTACAAATTGATACGTATGTGCTAGTTTTGCTTCAGATGAATAATAGGAGCTATGGAAATGAATTCATTGGATCAATTTCAAATTTTGAGACATAAATCATTGAAGGGGGGAAAAAAAGCATGAAACCCATCTGAAGCATAGACAGTAAGCCAGTAACAAAAGCATCTTCTCTACTAGAAGCTTTGGTAATAACACTAGGATAAACTAGATCACAAGTATATTTTGCACTTCTGAAAGTATGGTAGGTAGACAGACACACAGGGCTCAAACAAACTACTAGGTCTGTAGAAAAGAAAGAAAGAAAGCCTTGTATTTGTGTAAGCCTGGCACTTGGCCTTCTATCTTCCCTTTTTGAATTGGTGGAACATCTGCCAGTTGGTTGCTTGGCCTACAGTTCTGCTCCACGTTACAGTAACTAGTATCCTTAAATTAATGTTACTGAAAAATCTTGTCTTCAGATCTGGTATGAGTACTACAGCTGCTCTCTATATTACCAGTGCAACAGTAGCAAGATCTTTCAGAAGGGACACTGTTACTGACAGAGATACAAATACAACACAAATCAAAACCAGCTCCCTCTGACACCACCACTTACCTTCAGCAAGGACACAGCACTCCTGTCTCTGAAAGCCCTTTGATCCACGCTTCACAGCACAGCACCAGAAGTCTCTATCAGCAGCAGCACTGACATGGGAGGAGAGGGACTTGAGCACCAAGATGGTGTTCCTCAGGAAATGTTTTTTGTTGTGCTGACTCCATCCACTTTCCCAAACTCAGGAAGGTCAACTGCACAATTTTAAGTAGCAGGGACCGTGCTCCTATCCTCCCTTCTAAAGTCATCCGTACCAGCTTAAGAAACAGAAGGATGTCGTTGAGGAGCATGTAGTGCCAGCTCTCGCTCTGCCCTTCTGCAGCTGTCCAGCTCTGGGAGTGCTGCCAAAGGTGACCACCTCACAGGTTCTCAAAGTTCTTCAACCACGGAGAGAGCTCTGTTAACAGAGTTCTTTTCTCTATGGTCACTAAGCGCCTTCTGCCATTGCTGGGTTCCGCTCAGTCTCTCACTGCCAAGAAATGTTGGTTCTGCAAAGTCATTATCTGTGTATTCTGCGAGAAATTTTGACACAGAAGCACAAAAGGTGGTAAGAGGTTCTGTGCCAGAAACAGGACTGCAATTCCATACAATTGCCTTTGCACTAAAGTAATTTTTACTTAGCCAAGCAGAAATCAGATTGGATCAAGTGCTGGCCAGAGCTGCAGCTCTTCCTGTGCTGACAGCATCAGGCAAATGCCATTTCCAATGCTGGGAGCCTCAGGGATGGCACTCCTGGGACAGGTGGCCTCAGATCAGGCCCCTGGAACAACCCCCACTTTCTCCCACTGGGCACCAGCTCCTGTTAAGTACTTTCATCTGCAGTTTCACTGGCAATCAAGACAAAAACAAGTGGTTTTAATCAGAAACTGCACCTTTTCTGCTCAGGAAAACATTATTTTGCTATACTATTTCTGCTGTTTGCTCCTTTTGTTGCTACAATATTAGCATTGTTCCATTGCCATTAATACCCACAGGCTGATGTTTGTACAAATGCATTTTTATTGTTTTAACGGAACCAAAGAATAAGGTTGAAAACATTAGACTATACATAAATGCATTTTGGCTTATAAACAATGTTTTATAGTGGTAAAACATTTCCAAGTGACATTCATGGTCTTTCTCCAATTTTTGCTGCATTTCAGGTCTGAAGACCGATAGTGTTCAAAAAAAAAAAAAAACAACCCAGTAATTGCATAAGGTGAATGAGTATCTCAACTTCTATAAAACAATTTGAGAACCTACAGCAAACATTCTGGAAGAACACCAAAGGCAACCATGATTTGTAACTCTCCCACAAACGTTACTCAATAAACAAAAAGTGATCTTTGGCATAAACAATTATGTATTAAAGGCATTAATAATATTGCATTAATATCAGTAAAGCAACTAAACACTGATGCTAAAAAAAAATCTCAGAAAAGCTTGAATGGGAGGAGAGGGGTGGGAGTGTGAGGAGTACTGAAATGCAGGAAGACTATTTAGAAAATCCCTTCAAAATTACCCCTACCTATTCAGTGTTATTTACTATTAAATAGAAATTACTACATTACAATTACATTAAAGATCTGGTATAAACCGACCAAATGCAAGACATTCAGGTTAAGGCTCTGGCACCTCTTCCTGTTCCAGGTAATCACCAGAAGAGAATACCAAGGGAAGACCCTAAGTACCACATGTTTCATAATACCCAGACACCAGGAGCAAACTGAAGACCAAGACATGTTTTCTCTTGCTAAGGTCAGGTTTGAGGCAGATGATTAGAATCAGTTTAACTTCCCTTTTTAGATAACAGTGCAGTGGAGGGGTGGGGGAAGCAAGTCCAAGTGTAGAGTGTTACAGACCAGCAAAGAGCAGCTGACTATTTTCTCTCTTTTCCTTTAGGCTGTGAAACATCTGCTCAGTCTGACAAGGCCACTTCAATAAAGGCTGTGCAACAATTACCAGCAAATAAAAATGAACAGTGTCTCAGGATGTCTGTGCTGATTTGGGCAGAAGTTTGCAAGTGCTTCTTGCAAAAGTAGAGCAACCCATGATAAAACAGTAATTCCAAATGCCCAAAGAGACTGTGGAGCAATAAACAAAAACTACATATAGGAAGGCATATTAGATTATGTTAGAATAAAAATATTTGAAGCCTATTTTATCCAGAGCGAGTTTTGTCTACAGAAGACTAAATAACACGTAGTTCAATTTACTAAGAATCGAAAAAGTTTTCAAACTGCCTAACTGTGATAAAACCAGTACAAATACCTGGGGACACTGAGCATTAGGAGCTGCTGCTCACTGGCAGCCATCGGGCTACCTGAGGAACTTCCCACCTCTGAAGTACTTGAGCTTCAGAAAGCTTAAGCAATGCTATTACACTGTTGGAAGCAAGAGCAGTGAGTCAAAACATCTTCTGAGGGTAGTATTCTTGATCTTTTAATTTCCATCTTGAGTGGCTAGAATGATGAGATGCAAAAGAAGAGAAAAAAATAATGACAACACGTGCCTTGTGCTCACTTTGCTTTCCAAAAGGAAGGAGCATGTGACATTTTCTGGTTCTGGACACAGCTAGATTCAAAGAACCAGGATTCTTCAGTTCAATACATCACTAAATCGAGCAAGAAGGAGAGTTGCACAATTTAAGGCCTCCAGCTGACAACAGCGTGCCACTGACATTCACCAGAAGCATCTCGGTACAGTACAAAAGTTCTGAAATGCTACCTATAGGGTGACAGGAGGGTGACAGACAGCTCCAGTTTTTATTCAAGTACTTTTTCGCCAAGCAAAAGTCAACAAGAAAATTATAAAATACAAATCATTTCAGCAATGGGATTTTAATCTTCATTTTACAACTGCTTGCCCCCTCCCGTCCCTTTTTTTCCTTTTTAAAAATCCAAACCACTTCTGAACCATTTAAAGAGCCAATTAAAAGCTTGCTGAAAAGTTGAGTGTTTATACACCAAAGATTTCCCTAAATCATTGCCAACTTACACTGTTAGTGTCCCAGCCTCTCAATACAAGCTTTAAGTGAGGTCTACGTATTATAACATCATACGGAAGCTACTGGAATATGCAGTGCATAAATGAAATGTGCTTCTGGGATTACAGACTTCAATATAATCTTCAAGAGATAAAAAAAATAAGAACTGTCTATTGTCTGAAAGAATTTTGAGGTGTTTGATATCAAACAAGTTCCAAAGATATTTTAAATGCTTTCTCTTATAACTCATACCCTTAGAATGGGGCATTAACATAAGCTAATTTTAAGCTTATGTATACAGCACCTTCTGCTGTTAATAAATCTCTTCCATTTCCAAAAAGAGGCATTTTATGTTACAGAAGACAATGCTTATTTGGTGTTTATTGATACCATGGGGTCTTTCTGACCCAGCGCAGAGTGAATCCAGCATCTGTTCTTATCTTAATGGATGCTGCTTCAGCTTCTCTCACAGTTTCCTTTACAGACTGCATGAGGTTCTGGGCATTGTGAACCAACATCTCAGTTGCCTGGAAAACAAAATAAACAAACATTGTTAGGAAATAGCATGTTCACAACAGTGGGATGGAAACCCAGTGTGCACAGTAATTCCTCGAGTACAGCATTTTTAAGGCAGTCTACTGCTGAAAAGTAAATTATACTGCTACTCAAGTGATAGTTGACTCCCAACAGTACTTCCCTGCTTGTCATTAGGCATTGAAAGTCTGAATAGAAACTCAATTTTTCAAAGCCGAATAAGCTCTCAGAAGCCAGAAACCACAAGATTCCAACTGAAAAATATGCATTTGAAAGCCAACAGAACCGTGAAATAAACACTCAAGATGATGTCGGAAGTATTTTCACCACAACCCGCTAGGGGGCGCAATCACTCCACCTTCGTTAAACCTGCCGTCGTTTCAGCTGAAAGTTCTTTTGCTAGCTCACTTCTGGGAGGAAAAGTGATTAATAAACCGTTTGTATACAAATTTGAACCAGAACAATTGTTTTGCTCGGAGAGGACTAATGTTCTTTTATTCAAATGCACCTTTTGAAACAGCAAGCAATGTGTTAAGTTTTCCTTACTAAGCTCCTGAGGTAAGTTTCTTGAGTTCTCAGCACACATCTATTTTAGTGTTGTTTCTTTCTCCCCATAACACTGCTCAGCAGTTTCACCTCCCATCAATTTTTACATCTCTTACCTGTTCTGATTCTTCATCGCTGATGTTAGTCCTGCCCAGCATGGTAGCTTTAACTGTGGAAAGAATTTTGAGTTGTGTGCTGATGGTTGGGATTCGCTCACAGACCTAAAGAATAGGGATAAAAAAAACATTTCACATTGTAAACTCAACTGATACACTTTTTCTTCCCTTTAGATTAATTCTTTGGTTTTCCTTTACTATTCCACAAGGAGTAAGCATAGAGGGGTCCCCATAACTTTCAAGACTTTCAGACAAATACAGGTAAGATAACTGAACATCTTATTTTAATTGCTCTGAGAATTTTTCTGAAGAACTACATTCTCTTTTCCTCTAGATATTCCTTAGGTGTTCTACCCAGACCTGGGAATAGAAGGACATTTATCTGTCTGCCTGAGAGTGGAAAAAACTATGCAGTGTTACATTTCTGCTGCTATTCTTTGACACAGTAGGAAAGAGTAGATGAAATACAAAGCGATGCAGAAACGGGAGAGAGCAGTGCTCCTTGCACAGTACTTTTCAAAACCTCTCAGACATTAGCATCTTTCACTCACCTGGAAACTGATCTGACTTTACAAAACATGCACCACTACAGCATCTAAAAACATACACGGCTTGTAACGTTCTGTCAAGTTGCAAGTGAAGACACTTGTGTTTTACCGCAACACCTCCTCTGCTCACAGACGGTAAGAGAAGAACCAAGTATTTTGAGGTGCTTACAAGTTAACTCATTACCTGTAAGAGGTTTGTCCTAATGCGTTTATCAGTGCATTGCTTGGCCACCTCTTTGGCCAACCGAGTGACTTCATCCGATGCCTTGGCAATGTCTTTTGCACACTGAATGAGGGCACGCTTGTTCCCGCTGCCTCCTCGCACCAGGCGTGACATCTCTGCCATGAGCAGCGCCATCCGTTTAGCAGCAGCAATGATGTCGTTACCCTGAAGAGAACAGCAGCAGTCAGTGTTTGTGTCGGGAAGGCAGCTTCCAGAAGTCACACCTGAGCAGCCTACATTCTGGTAGCAACCCTTTCAGGAAGTCAAGGATGGAAAAACCATTGTGAACACAGAAGAGGTTTCTTCAAGGAACAGGGAAGATCTGCCCTGATTGCCTACTTATGGCATACTTTTCTTCCTAAGACTCAGGGAAAAAGGTTTGCTTCAAAACTGGAAAAAAACGCAGTGATAAAGTGTTAGTTTGTCCATGGAATAGGAGTTTCTGCTCTGCTGGTTATATTTTAAGATAAAGCATGTTATTAGCATTTGAAATTCCAGATCTCTCAATAAGGGGAGTAAGGAAGTTATTTTCTAAGTGTGCTAAGCACCTCATTAAACCAAATAGCACTGATTTGGTTACACAGTTCAGCATCATGTTTTCACTGGCATCTGAAACTGAAGTTGTTCAAACATATCTGTGCTGCTACCTTGCTATGTTGCTGTCAAGTAAGTGGAAGACAATCTGTAACAAAGGTTTGCCACAGGTAGCATGGAAATGAGAAGCAATATTATTGCTGGGTTTTTCCAAGTTATTTCTTGAAAACAGTTATTGCTTTTTTTATTAATTCTCTCCCTTCAAAATAAAGCTTCTAGGAGAGAATAACTTGTAGTTTAAAAGATAACTCGGTATTATTAAAAATCAGATTTCTTGTGTTAATTATATCAAGATAAGGCTCAAAAATACTTCAGGTATTCGCAATGTGGGAATTAAATACCAAAAATAAACCAAAGCAAAAGTGTTTTTCATACGCTGTTCCAGAGAGAAACCTAGTGCAAGAAAAAGCAGTCCAGAGTTATGGATTGTTAATAGTCTGTTAGTACATTTAGATTCACCTTCCTGAGAAGTTGTTAGACAAACGTGAAACAGAGTGCCACGATGCATTCCTACTGCGTGGATGAAATATTAGCAGTGATTTTAAGTATTAGCACACACATTCTTCAGTGCAGTTTCACAATGAATGACCAATGAAGACCACAGCAAGAAGTACACAGTGAGAACCCAACTGTTTTCTCTGTCCTTTGCACG